TGTCTCTCACTGGGGTCGAAGCATAAGGCTCCAAGGGGTAGCCCAGTCAATGCAGAAAGCTGCCGCCTCTGAGGTACTGAGACAAGGGATTAGATTGAGTCACCGCCGACGCCCGGTGGGGCATCCTCTAAACGTCGTCGTCGTCGTCGTCGTGCTGCCAGTGCTGCTGCGAGATTGAACGCTTCTATTTGACGCTTTAAATGTCGTTTCCAATATTGTGACGTCACGGTTTGCTGATTGGTCGACGCGTTGTCGCATATTTAGTTTACGCTCTAACCGCGGGGGGAATATTCGCCGCTGGCGGGGGCATTTGCTACGCCTATCGGCCAAACACTCCCACTATATGGCTCTGCCTCACTATGGGTAGTGCACGTGCTACCCGCACAATTATGTTTTGCATTTTCATCGTGAATAGAAGCTTGGAATCGCACGTGGTTGTACTAGCAGAAAAAGTTGAAGTATCCTTACTCTGGGTTGTGAACAAATTTCACCAGGCAGCGATACCCAAACGTCTCGACGCGAATACGCTTCGGAAAGCGAGCAAATCACTCGCCATACGCACGGACACTGAAAATGAAACCGTCCAGGAACCCTTTTTTGGAAAGGTCTATAGACCATTCTAATGTTTACAAACACACTACTATTAAGCCGCCCCCCCCCCCCCCCCCCCCCAGCTCCATGCTAGTTAATCGCGAGTGCTGCCTGCCAGGACATGAAAACAGTCGTGTATTAAAGAAATATTTTAAGTTGTTTGTAGTTCGGTTTTTCTAGCCTCTGGGCTCAATACAATCATTTTTTTGTTTTCTTTACGAGGGCGCGAAGAGCACTTGTGCGTTTATCGATGCGCTACTAAACGCGCCGCTTTGAGAACAGTTTCGATATGTACGAATTGGGTGCATTCAACCGTACCGTTTTACAGAGCATAAACCGCTTAAACAGATACATTCCTTAGTAAGTTTAAGACAGCCTCAAAGCGTGCCTTGTTGCGACATACGCGGTAACAAATGGCTCATTTGCGAATCTCTGAAAATTATGTATTGTCGCCTTAATTTCTCGTCAAATAACTCGTTTAGAGCTAATACCTTAGTATACAACGCTGTCAAAAGCTACTGGTACGGGCGCGTGGCTTCATCTATGGTTTCGTCTGCACGACAAAGCGTACAAGCACTCTTTATGCTCGCGCCAGCAGCTTTGACACCGTTGTGCACTAAGTAGGGAACAAAGCATAGCTGTTCCTGGCTCGCGGCGTGAGCTACGGCTATGTCTACGTCGGCGCAAATTGCTTCGCCAACCACGGCATATGCACCGGCAGGACCCGCTCCTTAACGACTTCGCCTGTCGACGTTGACTCAATTAACAACGAACTAACCGTTAGCCTCGGATCTATGGCCTCTGAACCCGCTGCACTCGAGGGCTCAACGAGTTGTCGAGACCCTTTGGGGGTCACGCGAGCGAAGTCGTCGAGAAAAGAGGCACAACAAAGCAAAAAGACTCGTCCAGTTCTCCCTGATTTCGTGCGAGGTCCGCGTCAACGAACTAGTTTGCCATTAAGGCAACGCCAGCGCCAGATGGTCGGGTTCCAATCGATAACCTTGTCTCAGGGTACCACTCTATATAGAAGCGGAAAGCAGCCTCTCGCGGAGATCTCAATTCGGAACTGCGTTGGAACCACATTGTTCGGACATGTTGCCCAGAAAGTTGGGAAAACAGAACTGTTCATCTGCGAAGCCGATGCAGTGCGGGCGTGTGGTTTCGTGGAGTTGGGAGACGCGGCGTGGTCGTTGGGTCTAGCGACAGCCTCCTGCGTTAATGAGAATTGTAAAGAATTGCCCGGAAACAAAAGGTCGTTACGGGGCTTGCTCATTACGAGATGTCGTAGTTTTTGCTTTCGACTGTTTTGCTTCGCTATTCCTTTCAAACTAACGACGTAGCGAGAGCTGCAACAGCGAGTTAAGGTTATGACATGCACGTTCGCTGCGTACGATTGTTTCCGTGAAAGATGTCTGAATTCAAAAGACCGTCAAAAGGGTTAAAAATATTAAACGTCGTGTTTTAACTTCAGAATTAAATTCAAATGCCGGCTACCCTCAGGGCTATGGAAAGAAGTGATTTGGACGGCTGGGGCTATGTATTTATAAAAGCTTCCAGCTCTTCCTGACCGATCAGCGTAAATAAGCGCAAAATTGTCGAACTTGAAAATGGTTCTAGTGTATGTGTGTCTTTGTTTGAATAGAATATTTACCAGACGTTTTATTCTCTCATCTATATATAATGTAGGCAGTGAAAAGCACGGCTGTTTTCTACAGCAAATAAGACTGGACCACACAGAGACTTGCACTTCGAAGATTACCTTGGCAGTACGGAAATGTTCGCATGTTATCAGGGCTAGCGTTCCCTCGCAACAAAGCAAGTCGTAGAGTTCACTCAGTTTGATCTCAAAGCGAATGGCATACTTAAAGAAAAAAAAAATCTCAACGACGAGCGAATATTTTTTAGCAGTATATTTTCACGGTTTATGCAATTTCTGTGCACTCTAAAAAACGCCCGTGCGTGTACTTTCCCGCACAACACTCGGAGAGCCAATCACCTCAACTTACGGAGGCAGCTCGGCAAATGACGATGCTGAAGCATCTGTTTAGACGAAAGAACGCAGACTGAGTTGTGACATTAAGCAATGCAAGCGTGACGTTTTGCATTGCTTAATGTCACAACTCAGACTGCGTTTTTTGGTCTAAAAATATCTTTCGGCATCGTCATTCGCTGAGCTGCCACCGTAAGTTGAGGTGATTGGCTCTCCGAGTGCTGTGCGGGAAAGTGGACACATGGGCTTTTTTTAGAGTGTATCTGGAGTAAGTAAGCGATTGTTTCCATTTTTAAAAATCTGTTTTCCTTTCGTTGTCCGGCATGTGCCATGCGCGTGGTTACTGGCAACTGTAAAGCCGGGGTCGCACTGCTCATATCTTATACAAAAGACTGTCTGCCAACACGAGTCACTACAATATCCGTTGTTCGAATGCCGCCAGCCAAGTTTTCTCGTTGAACTCATTGCCATGCGGCATTCGAAGCACGGATTTCGGTTTGACTCGCGTTCGAATCTCTATGCAGACTGTCTTTTGTGTGATGTGTAAGCAGTGTGACCCCGGCTTAAGAGGTCACGAACCGGTTTTAAATTTGGATCACTTTATGATTAAAGAATAAACTAAACTTTGTAAATGAAAAAAAAAAAGTTCTACAGCACTAATTTATAACATTTCCGGTCCCCGATGCATGTCATTTTTTTTTACCCATGTGATTTACCAGGAACAAATAGAGTACCTGCTTACATAGTACGGCTGAAGTATCTGCTTTAGTATTAACTCTCGATTTTGTAGCTCTGTTTCCCTAACAGATGATGAATGATTTTTAAAATCTAAAAGCTACATCGGGTAACACAGGGTCACTGAAATAAGGGAACACCGTGAATGTGGTTTATTTAGTTTACACCACAAAGCTATAAGAAAATCTGCCGCGTAGTCTTGACCGAATAAAGTAAAACAAATAAAGAGTCTTTTTTTTTTTTTTTGACGCCATTCCTTTACACATGATTCTAAAAACCGGAGAGACGATTCCCGGCGCCATAAATTGGTCAGGAATTGTATTAAACAATCGTTTTTGCTCGAAAAGTAAACCGCTCGCATAACGTGTTTGACCCCTGTAGTTGCTAGCGTGGAATCAATACCACCTACAAGACAAGGCCTGCCTATTATGTCATCGTCAGTGGATTCTACTTCGGCCAATCGAAGACGCGTGGCAGCTTTCTATTTAGCTTCGCAACAGGTAACGTGCTGCAGACTTTGAATAAATTAGCCTTCATACGGAAATGACACAAAACAAGAAAAACGAAGCATGAGAGCGCTACTGCAGTCGTGATAAACCATTCTCTAAACACGTGCCGATATCACTTCCGGTTAAGCTGACATTGGAAGCACGCGCGGTTATGGTCGTAAAACTGTTTATGAAATTGGTATGCTCCGTCGATCAGTTTCTAAATGACGGATGTAGTAAATTTATTCTAAACCCCCCCTCCCCCCCCCCCCCCCCCAAAAAAAAAAAGACACGGGGGTGACGAAATTAGTGCCTGTATTTAAGAGAGGGAGCAACTCACACCAAAGTGGGCGCTTTTTATGTATGTGTACTCGTAAATTGAATGGCGGGGTCTTTTTGCGAAAATTGGTTGCAAGTGCGCATGCGTTGCTTTCCGTGTGGCGACTATGAAAGCGGGCAGACAGGAGGCGACGCTTTCAGACGATCAATGCTTTCGTCACCTCGCAACTTGTATTGCAAACGCGACCCACGAACCACCTAACCCCGATCGAGCAGTCGGAAACACTCTGATATCTAGGCACAATACTTATGACCTGCAATAAACCGAACAGTTTTATGACTGTCTTCTTTTTTTTTTTTTTTTTAATGCAAAATAATACTTTTTTTTTATTTCTATGTTATTTCGCGGATGATGTGTGGAAGCGTTCTGTGTAGCTTCGCAACTCATAACGTTACTCACACTTCGGACAAAACAATAAGCCTTCGGTTTCAATAAAGATTAGAGCGACGCTACGGAGAATTAGCGCTCTTCAAAACTTCCTTCTAGGCACGTACCGACATCGCTTCCGTTGAAACCTGTGTTGGAAGCACGGGGTTATGGGCGGAAATCCTTCATTGCATTTGCCATGCGCCGTAAATCGGATATTTCATGACGCACGTGGATCATGTCCCCTTTTGTCGCACCCCCCCCCCTCCCCCAAATCCCCCAAAGAAACAAAAAAGAAAGAAGAGCTCATGCCTCTTCAGATGTGCCGGTCACATTTATGAATATTTATTGTTCCTAGTTTGAACATTATTTTTCTACGGGGGCACGTGGGGCACACATTGCAGGGGGGTTTAACAGTATAAAAGGCGCAATATATTGCCGTACCCATCATCTCTTCTCTTCGTCAGCAGTGATACCAACAGCTAAAAAAATGACAACTTGCTTTGCGCGCGCTTCTAAGGCAGTGCTCCTGCTGGCACTTTGTTTCATCGTGGTGTATAGTAAGTATACTCCTGTCTACCTTCTGTCAGCGCAACCAAATTCTAAACTGGCCTGCGCAGCCTCACTGTCTCAACCCACTCGCATGTCAGCTCACCAGCGACTTGTTCCGCGTGCCTTGAATTCAAAATCGTACTCGATGTTGTTCTCACGAAAGCCGGCTATTCAATAATCATAAGTATTGTATGAGTTCTCAAGAAAAGGTGCGCTTCGTGATTTCTACGAGGAACGACGTTCTTTGCAACCCCCGCCGACGTGACAATGCAGCTTTGGAAGACGCCGAAGTATTCCCGGAGCTTGTGCTTTCTTATTTGGTAAAAACTGTTCGCTGAGAAGGTGAGGGAGAGGAGGAGGCAATAGGAGACGTCAGAACGCCGAGCTCTGGTTGGAGCGATTAGTGGGTATAGGCCTAAAGCTATAGCTGCCTTTGTCTCCAGTGCTCTCGTCGAACGCGTGCGAACGCGGAACGCTGTCGTCCGACGTTTGGCTTTCGCGTTCAAACGCGTTTAACGGGTGCAGTGAAGACAAGGGCTGCTAGATTTAAGTTTTACCCACTAATCCTTCCTACCAGAGCTGGGCATTCTGACGTCCCCCATCATCTCCCCCTCTCCCTCATTTTCTTGGCGCTCCATTAAGGCACTTTAGTGTTCCAATATGGCTAAGGAGAACATCGGTGTGAGTGCAAGTTTCAAGTTCGAAATGTGAAGTTTGCCGCTTGATGTTTGACGTCCGACGTTTGAACTTCAAGTTTATGGGGATTGTAGCGGACTAAGGCCAAACCAAAGACGCATGACGACTGAAAAAAAGGGGCTTCCGATATCGAACACACGAACATAAATTTTCGTATCGCAACGATTACGCTCAATAAAAACCTCTTTTTGTTTTATTAACACGTAACGTGTTTTTATTTTATTTCAGAAGCCGAAGCATCCAGTCCTCAGCACACTTGCAGCTATCCTCGAGGTATGTATTTTGCCAGAGCTGTTATCGTTCTTACCATTCCGTTCCTACGTCACTGGTGAACTGTTCATCCACACATGAAACACGGATACACTTTGAGTGCAGGATACGTTTTTCATTCATTCGACGCAATGTAATTAAATTAAAATAAACGAAAAAAAAAATAGGGGGAAATATTTCATGTTTATTATTCCGCAAAACAAACTTTCGGAGTGCGATTACCTGTTTCTTTTTACCGTGTTTAACACAAATTAATTATAAAAACAATTACTGCGTTTTATTGCAAGTGTTCCCTCGACACTCGTGCCGATATATTTTTTTTAGCCCCAGTATCATGAAAGTTGCCAGTGTCTATGACTATCGTTTATAATGTTTGTATTTATTGTCAAGCATGGAGTCTATTGCTTTTCTGACTCATCTTTTAAATTTGACCAAATACTAATCTATCATCAGTATTCGGTGCAAGCAATACTGGTTCGTTCCTGATTTCCCTACAAGTTATGAACCTTAAAAATCCTTGTTCAAGTTATAACCCTGGCCACACTGGTGAACAGCTTCATCTCTGAACACATTATAGTCATTGCTTACCAAAAAAAAACAGTTTTTTTTTTGTAAGTAGTTTCTTTTTTATTATTGTATCGTATTTTTAATATTGTACGTGCGCGAACACCGGACCTATGATCAAGATTTTCATTAAAAGCTTTTTGGCCGGTGTCCCCGTCACAATTTTTTTTTTTTTTTGTAATAAAGTGCAAATTCAAAACTGCAAAAACTCCCCAAATGTCTTCTTTTTTCTTTTTTCAGCTTGCGCCAATCCGGGCAATCCCGACCCCAGCCATACCGTGACTTCGACAGCCCGGTACAACCCGACCACCGGGCAGTGCGAGACCATCCCTGCCGTCACCGGGCCTCACAGCTGCGACAAGTTCCCGACCCTCGCCGACTGCCAGAAGAACTGCGGAACTGTCGCGTAGCTCAACGAAGACATGCGCCCATGCTGCCGACATGAATGAGAACACGCATGGTCGACAGCGACCCCGCGCTGTGACGGTGAAAATAAAGCGGTTCTCAAAAATGGCTGCCTCTATGAAAAAAAAAATAATAATAATTCGCTTTATGCGACGATGGGTAACACGTTGCTATCGAACAAGGCACAGCACCAGCGGACTGTGACCTACCGCTTTTGTCGGTACTATACTTTGTTTGATCACGTTGCCGAGTGCAGTTGAAGGCACGAACATACACAACAACGGACACGCATACTAAAAGCGCAAGTCACTGAGCCTCCCCTGCACGTGATTGCTATAGCAATGAAAGAACCCATATAGAGACACGGCGAACTCCAGGACGTTGCGTTTTGGACGCGGTTTGATTGGTCCCACCGACTCATGACGTCGGCTGCGGCAGAACTTAAGAAAAAACACAGTACAATAGACTTTTTTTTTTTTTGTGGCAATGGCGACAAAATTCCTGAAGGGGCCCTGATAATTTTTACTTCTTTTTTCGCTCGAGCAACTTGGTGCGCCGAAGAAATACTTCACAATGGTGGAGCACAAAATCAGAATTAGTTTTCTTGTTGCTGTTTGGACTATACTGGTTATTGCAGAAATGACATTTATGAGTATCTCATCATTTCCCCCTCCATTTATTCGTAAACCCTATGACGGACAGCCTCACTTTTGAAGGAACAGGCGAGGAAAGTATTTTCACTTTTACGACAAATCACCCGCCTAATCAAGATTGAGCATTGAAAAACACGGAGGAAGAACGTGGCATTCTATTTTGTAACTTTAGCGGCGTGCGTTTAATCCATTTCTTTCCTGTTCCACGCTTTCACCGCCAGACTGCGCCAGTTCTCGTTGCACACTTGGATAGGCGGCGGGCAGGTCCCCGCTTCTCCCCTTCGCATCTTTTCTGCTAGGTGGCGTTGCCTCCTCTGAAATTACGAGTAGCTGTCATCCTGCCGAGATGACCGCAGACGGGAGAGTAGGGTCATCCAGTTCCCGGCCGCAATCTTCTTGATTACTATTTGAATATCATTACCAATTGCCGCTTTAGCAGCTATTTTATATTTGAGAACAATAAGCCCTGCCCATTAACTCTAGAACACACAGAGGCTACAAACAACAAGCGCCGTGCAAAACAAGTCGCGATGTATATTTTAATTAAGTTATCAAACTATACTACTTACGTTGATATAAAATGAAGCGTCAAAATTTTACCTACAATTAGGTGTGGAGCTCAATTTGAGCACATTGAACAGAGCAAAACACGTATTCGAAAGTTCACAGTACGGCGAGCCACGTCGACGAAACACGTCCCTCGGAGCAGGTGGGAGTTGGAGACGCGAGACAGTCAGGAATCTGCCAACGCAGGAGAGATGAGGCGTCAAAAGGTGAGAGGAAGTGATCACGCGTGAGTCCAAGCTTCGCCACACCAAACGCTAGTCTCTTTAGTGGGCAGAGTCACCGACAACCTAAGAAACGCAGGGCGCGGCAACTCCCGCGCACCATCTTATAGCTCCGCAGTCAATAACGTTGCGCCATTGGCCCGATCAGAAGGCCGAAAAACCAATCACGAAGCAGGACGCGTGAACCTTATTGGCCAGACCCTGCGTTTCTTACGCTGACAGTGACCATTGGAAGCGTGCGACCAGACGTGCGACTAAAGTCCCTGGATACGAGCTTCCTACAAGTAGCGACATTCTTTGAAGCACCGACTGCTTGATGGTGCAGATTTCAGGAAGCGAATGGCGGCGCACAGCAGAGCTTTGAATTGAATGCCGCCACTTTTTTCCAGCGGAATGTGCTTTGTCATTTGTATTGGTTGTCCTTACTTCTAAAAGAAGTATCAAGGGACTTTACGTGCGACAAGTCCGTAGCGCCACAGTGCAGGTCCTATACGAAGCATTTTGCACAGACCATCGCCGGACTGGCATAGATATCCATAGTTTTATTTGCTCACGCCACCATTGCGCTTCGGGCACCTTTATTTATTTATGGCTTCTGCGTTTTGAGACTTCGTTATGTGTGTCCCTTCCTTCTCTCCTGTCTCGATATTTTTCTTTTAATATGATAGATATTTAGTGTAGCAGACAACCTCAATTTATAATTAATGTCAGCTTACCTAAGCATAGCGCTATACGAAACGCTTAGAAACACAATCGGTGCTAATCTTTTTTTTTTATGCGAGATTTGAAACTTTAGAACACAGATCCCCTTTATCCGCTGGCGAAAAGTGCCGCACTCATCTAAATCCCAGTACTCCTAGTCTATACGGCAGCGAGCGAAGATTAATCCGATAATAGGAACGAAAAGTTCTCATCATGTAGATCCATCGATTGCTGACACTCGTTCGTGTCGTTTCGTAGTGATCTCGGAAACACCAAACGCACAAACGCCACGTAGGGGCATCTTCCAGCGCGGACAGACGAAGAACAGGGCGGTATGCTGCCACCGTGGCCACCCAGCTGCGGGCCACACGATTGAACCTGAGCTCCGAGCAATTCCTGCGGGTCGAATTACAGAAAACACATCCAGGGCAACGCTGTACGTGAGCAGCATTCGAATGTCAGGTGCCAAATTTTTTACTCTGGAGCTAGATCGAGAAACACGGCCGCGGGAAGGCGCCGAAGGGGCCAAGACCAACGTTACTAAATTACCTCAGTTTTGGAACTCCCGCGGAAGGGGGTAACCCCCCTCACTGACTTCAGTCCGCCTCCCGTCGCTTGAAGCGCCATCTAGATTGTCGCTTCATAACTGAGTATTCCACAAAGTACGATAGAACGCAACCTAGACGCTGTGTTTCGAAGCGCACGTATTCTATAGAATGCACTACAGTTCCCATTGCAGCCGTCCGGCGCGTCAAACGACGGGAGGCGGGTCGTGGTGAGTGAGGGGGGTACTGCTCGTGCAACCAGCGTCTATGAGCAGTTCTGTAACTGAGCTAATGCAATAACGTTTGCCAAGACGCTGCCGGATCATTAGACGGAGCGGGCAGCGCTTCACTATGCGGTGTAGCGGGGACGCTGTCACTGGTGGTGGTGCTGCCAACCAGCTGCCAAGGCGGAAAGGCGCGCCCCCTTTTACTTGTCACAACGTTCACGGGGATGTTATTTAAACAAAAGTTCGAAAGGATGAATCTGCTTTAACATATATGACCCCCCGAAATGTGTGGCAGACATCCTCAAAAGAGCGTCATAAACACGGTCGATGTCCCTCCCAATATCAACGTTCACGGGGGTGATATTTAAACAAAAGTTGGAAAGGATGAATCTGCTTTAACGTATGCGACTTCCGAAATGTGTTACGGACACCCTGAAAAAAGCGTCATAAACACGGTTGACATTAATATTTGTTCTACGTTACTTGGCGTTTCACTGTACGTATTCAGCGACTCCCTATGCTATCTGCACGTTCGGTACACTGAACGTCGATTGAGAAAGCACACACTAAATGAAAACCAATAAGCGACAGAAAAGAAGAAAAAACACTACCACTTTTGATTGAAGGAAACTTGTACACAACCTAGATTGAGAGAGAATAAGCATTTATTTAAAAACAGCGAGGTCAACCAGTGCATTGTGCCAGCGGGCTACGCTGTGCGAACGAAACCAACGAAAGTACGGGCGAACTCTACCGAAAGCTCGGGTCAGAAAAACGGGGCCTCGCAGAATTAGTTTCCTTTCGCACTCCATCTTCCTGAAATAAAAATAAATAAATAAAAAAGAAACGGAGAAACGAGGAAACACGTAGGCTAAAAGAAGAGCGAGTAATCAAACATTAAAAAAAATATATATAATAGAGGACAAATAGAAATAGAGCGAGACTTGATTGAAAAGGCACCGGGAACGAAAACCATAATAACAAAAAATAGAAACGTAAATGTTGAAAGACGGGAACGGGAAGAAAAAGAGTACAAAGATGTGGAGAAACAGGGGAAAGGGGGGATGCGCGCAGCGAAGCGGACAGCCGACAATGTTTTCGGTGGCGAGGAGGCAGTCCTGGGTGCTGTCCGCGTCGCTTGGGCGACGAACAAATGTCGCGTCGATAGACGTCCTCCCTCCAATGGCCTTATCGGCCGCCTTTCTCTGCTGCTCCTGCTGCTCCCGAGAACACCTCCTCCGATCCACAAATGGAACGCAGCCTCTACGCGTTCCGTCGCCACAAACGCGTTCCTCAGGTTTTCTTTTTTTTCTTTCTTCTTCTTTTTTTGCTTTTTTTTTTTGCGCACGCTCGTCTTCCATCTCCATTCTCCTCCTCTGCCTCCATTCTTTCTCTCGTCCGTCCTTCTTCTTCTTCATCCTCCCTCTCCTTATTTTTTCTCTTGTACGTCATCATTCTACTTCATCCTCCCTCTGTCCTATCCTCTTCTACATCCTCCCTCCTCTTCATCCGTTTTTTCATCCTCCATCTTCTTTTTCCTCTTCTCCATCCTCCCACTCCTTCATCCTCTTTTCCATCTCCATCTTCTCCAACCACCCTCTTCTCCGTCTTCTATATTCTCCATCTTCCCTCTTCTACATCCTCTATCTCTCCCACCCTCCCTATTTTCCACCCTCTTCTCCCTATTTTCCACCCTCTTCTCCATTTTCTCCCCATTCTCTTCTCCATATGTTCTATGATCTCCACCCTCCCTCTCCTCCATCCTCTTCTACATCCTCCATCTTCTCCATCCTTCCTCCGATTCGTAGCTCGGATCTTTTTGATCCCAACGCCCGCGTCGCTGTCGCCCTGAATGCGTTTTGCGTGGAGAGTCTTCTGTTGACTCGGCTCCCCTCTTGAGCCACGTACCGCCGTCGACCCCGTCGTCGTCGCGAGGCATTCTTGAGCTTGTGCCTACGGCGACGATCGTTGTTTCCGTTCATCTGATTTTTCTTTTTTGTTGCGGTGCCATTTTGTTTCGTTATTCTTTTCGCATGAGGAATTGTAGCATTTTTCTGCGACGGGATCGCTTGGAATTGTCGCGGAGGTGT